ACATGCTGATGAATAGTTGTCCTAAACTGCATACCTTAGTGTTTGTATTGATGAAGGATTGACTCAAGACTTACAGTAAAAATATAGTATGTATTTTGTTCATCTACTACATCTAACAAAAAAGGAGAAGTTAAGTGGTGTGTTTACCCCAAAAAGGAAGCCTTTGGAAGAAACCTACTCTGCCTTAGTGCAATATAGCTTACTCAGTGCAGTGGAATTAGGGTGCATTACTGCCACCTTATGCACTAGAAGGTGGATCAAAAGGTTGATTTCTGATTGGTTCACCCCATAACCCCACCCCCACCCTCGCTTAACAAGTGAAAATTGGTTTTGCTGCAAGTTTATCGCAAAAACTGTAGCAAAATCTAGGTGCGCAGATTTGAACTTGGAGGGGCAGATATGAGAAGTTGTAATCACTGATTTGTGGTTGTATCTGCCATCATGGATGTATTGGCCACTGTATTTATGTAAATCAATCTACACATTTATTGATATTTTTGTCACGTGTGAACATTTTCTACAAGTGAAAATTTCAATATACAAGTTCAAATATTTGTTCTGCATAGTCTCACATTGGAGGGGTCATGGTGGTGCAGTGGTTAGCATTACTACATCCCAGTAAGAAGGTCCTGTGTTCGGTCTCCGGGCTGGGGGTAGGACCCTTCTGTGTGGAGTTCACATGCTCTCCCCATTTCTGCCAGGGGCTCCAGTTTCCTCCCTCAGTCCAAAAGTGTGTGTGGTAGGTTGATCAGCAGCTCTAAGTTGGTCCTGTGAGCGTGTGTGCCCTTTGGTTTGTTGGTGCCTGCCTGTGTCCAGTAGAGGGCACTATCACTGCACAGATAAGGCAGGCGGTGGAGGGACATAGTGCTCTTTAATGACTTTATCACCTCATGGACTGACCCCCTCACACCTTTCACACAACCAAGTAAATGGTGGAACCCTTTTCTAGTGAGCAATCACTGCACAGGATGATGGGAAGGAGGCTGGTATTTGTGCTTACTTACAAATATAGCTCTCTGCGTTACAGTATTATTGAATTGTGCATTGTGTATGTGCTTTTTTA